CAGCACACCCGGGTGATATGTGTGTTTATTTAACTATTCTAAAAACATATTTATTATTTGGTTTTTAGCACAACTGGATTCTTGCTTTTGCTAGTTTAATTTATTGTTTTTACTGATCTTAATGTTTTACTGTTCTTTGATTTGTCTTCTCCATGTCCTTGATTTTATAGAAATAATTTGCAGCTCTGGTTATTTGAAAGTACTTATTATATAAAGTAGTAGTTTTAGTCACGTAAATATATTATTTCTTGTTTGTAAAGGTTTGGTTACAATAAAGAAAAAGAACAAAATGTCAAACCTTTTTCAGTTTTCTTTGCTGATTTGTTCAGTGACTTTCTGCATAAAGTTTATTCATTCTTTCAAGGATTTACATTTTCTCAGTGTGTGGGAAAATACAAGTTTTTATTAAATTAGCTCAATTTTGTTCATTTTTAAATGATCTAAAATGAAAAATTCTTCGAAGCAATCAAACATTGTGAAAACCTTAATTTAAAGTTGGGTTTTATGTTAATTTCACTTTAAAAAAATTAAAAACAAAAAAACAGGAAATATTTTTATTCATTTTCAATCCAACACAAAAACAACCACGGATCATTTAAACACTTTATTTACTCATTATTTGCTTCTGTTCAGTTTTTTACATGTAAACTGAAATATTTACGTTTTGTTTGTCGTCACGTTGTGTTTGTTTTTAGTTAAGTTGTTTATTTAGAATCTCTTCTTTATAATTTTTTTAAATCTCTTGAATCTCATTCTGGTTGTTCTGAGAGACTCTAGCATCATCTGCAGGACAGCCGGCGCGCACCGGAAGTGGCCCGGCTCGCGTGCGCGCAGCTTGACGCAGCAGCTGATCCGAGCCGTCGCTCCCCCAGCAGAGAGGGAGGGAGGGGACTGGTCCAGGCTGAGAGAACCGGGCTGGTTCTGGGATCGACCTGCAGCCTCCGTGTCTGTGATGGAGTGAAGCTCGCTGTCCTCCCTCCGTCGATCATGGAGCCGGTAAGACGCACGAATCCGCTGAAATCCAAGGGTTGCGCGGCGGCGCGCGCAGATGGAACCGCGCGTTACATCGTCCAGCTGTTTTTATGGGTGGAGGGGGGAGCGGGAGTGGGGGACAGCTGGGTGTTGATGAGAAATTTCCGCCTGAATGACGGGATGAAGCCGCTCTGCACTCCTCCTCGTCATGTGAAATAATCCAGAGGTGGAATATTCTGCTGTAATCTGGGAACAAGGCCCGCGTCATTCCCGCCGTGATTGGCACCTCCCTCCATGATGTGATGCATCCTGTGCAGCCCTTTAACGCGCAGAAACACGGTCTCCCGCCGCCCATTTCCACCCAGGCAGCGTTTTCTCCTCCACCCAGCTGGACCACCCCAGACCCCCAGAAGCTTCCTACAGATGCGTTCAGGAACCGGTAAAAAAAACCGGACACTTCTCTTCCTGGAGCAGCCATAAAAAAAATAAAATAAAATAAAATAACGATGACACCTCCTTGTATAGAAACGGGACCAGCGCCGCAGCTCCCTCCAGCAGGCCTGACAGGTTCTGGTTCCGTCCGTCATCACGCGCACTCATCGTTCCCATCACGCGCAGATGGGTGAGGAGTCAGCTGCTGCAGCACCGCTGCTCCCTGGCTCTCTGCGCGGAGAAAGATCACAGCCTGCAGGCCCTGGAGGACCTGGAGGTCTGAGACAGAACTGCAGCTCCTCCTGCCATCACCCGAGCTGCTCCAGAACCGAACACACAACCAGAACCGAACACACAACCCGAGCCCTGACAAGTGGTGAACAACGAGACTTAAATCCCACAAATCCATATTTTATTCACGGTGGAGCTCGGAAACTAAGATTGTAGTAGATGAGGTCTTATTGGTCTCATGAGCTTTGATTTTGATGGCAGTTATAAAGAAGTTGGTCCGGTCCGTGTTTCCCTCTGAGAAGCGTCTCTTCTGTTTTTAACAATCGTCTGCAAACATCCAGGACCTGAGGAGACGAGATGATGGAGTCTGATGGAGAGGTTTAGCTGCTCAACAGCACATGATGTTCTAAAATATGTTCATGTTTTCTGCATTGATGCTAGAGGCACTAATGAACCCCCATACCATCAGAGAGGCAGGCTTTAAGTGTGCTGATAACAGGCCGCTCTTTGACATAGCTTTAAAAAACATCAGTTTTGGATCAGTCTGAACACAGAACAGTTCTGGACTTCACCTCAGTCCATTACGAGCTCTGGTCCAGAGAAGACTGCAGCGGTTCTGGATGGTGTTCACATCTGGCTTCTTCTGTGTCTGATAGAGCTTTAAGCAGCATGGACTGTGTTTACAGACAATGATCTGTGGGAGTGTTCCTGAGCCCAGACCAGAACCAGACCTGGTTTTAATAAAGCAGGGGCCCCCGAGGGCCCAAAGAGCATCTTATACTGACCTTCAGCCTCGTCCTTTGAGCTCAGCGGTTTTTACAGATTCTTCTAATCTGTTGATCAGATTATGAGCTGGAGATGATGGAGATTAAAGTCTTTCCAATTTTCTGTTGAGGAACTTTATTCTGAAACTGTTCCTCTGCAGTTTTTCACAGACTGGTGAACCTGTGCCCGTCTTTACTTCTAACTGACCCGCTGATAATTAACCTAGTTAGTTACAAACTGCTCCTCAGCTGTTTCTCATAATTCACATCAACAACTCGTGTTGTGTAAATTAATTCAACGTCGCCTTTTTTCCAAAAACAAGAATAACTATTCTTCTTCTTCTTCTTTCCCCTCCAGGTTCATCTGGTGTCCCAGTAAACGTCGGATCCCGGGGTCAGAGGTCGTCCACTAAAACCCGCACTTGTCCCTGCTCCCCACCTCCTGTCCTCACCCTGATCCTCACACCACCCCTCCATCTCCGGTCCTCTCCCCCTCAGTTTTCCCTCACACATGTTCCTGTGATCCTCACATCCTGCCCCCCCCCCCCCCACCCCCACCCCCCAGAACAAGTTGTTGTTCTTTTCATGAGCACAGATCAGCTGTTCTCCAGATAACGCCTCTCGCTCCCAGGCCTCAAGATGATGTGTGAGGTGATGCCCACCATCTCCGAGGACGGGCGAGGCGGAGGGGCGGGCGGCTCGTCCTCCCCGGCGGGCGGAGCAGGAGGAGGGATAGGTGGTGGGGTGGGAGGCTATGGCAGCCGAGACCCCCGTGGCGGTGGAGGAGGAGGCGGAGGGGGTGATGAAGGAGGGAGCACGGGGAACCTGGAGTCTCTGATGGTGAATATGCTGACGGAGAGGGAGAGGCTGCTGGAGAGCCTGAGGGAGACGCAGGACAGCCTGGGGACGGCACACCTTCGGCTGCGAGAGCTGGGACACGAGAAGGAGTCCCTGCAGAGACAGCTGTCAATCGCCCTGCCACAGGTACGGGCACTCGGGAGGGACAAAAACTTCTCTCTGTCCATTTTCCAAATGAGCTGCATGTACAAAAAGTTTAAATCACAAATTATTGATTGTTTTCATATAAATCAGACAAAATGGCCGATTAATGAGATCATTTAGACGTTTTTTTTAAGTAAAAAATAACCATAACTTTACAATAAATGAGAAAACATCTGCGCAAGGAGGGCGGAGTTAAAGAATCTGAAAACAACAAAAACAGAAACTCTGCAGAAAAGACAAAAAAACTTGTTACAAAAGGGTCCAAAATTCAAAACTTAGTTCAAACCAAGGGCCAGTTTTATCAAAACGTGAACTAAAGTCGTCTCTTCTTGGCTGCAAGTTCCTCATCAAGAGTTCGATCGCTGTCGTTTGACGTTCAAAATCAATAAAATTGAAATCAACGATCTAATCTGAGCTTAAGGTTGGCTCACTGTCAGGAGAAGTCTGCAGAAAATGAAGTTTGTGTAATGTTTGTAATCAAAATGAGAGGCTACAAAAATGTCTTGCATTGAAAATATCATCCCGAGGCCCAGATGTTTACAACGGCCATATTTGGCCCTCGGGCCTTGAGTTGGACACGCGCCTTACAGACTGCTCATACGTGACGTTTGAACCTGAAATGATCTCTCGCTGCCAAACACTTAGAGGGATAATGTTTTTACCCGTGTCTGTTTTTGTCTGTTAGCGAAATATCTCATGAACCACTGGACGGATTTCAGTGAACAGCTCGTCCGAACAAGCCGCTAGCTCAGGCCGCGTTACAGATGTGGAGCTAAAACTTGAACAAGCGGCGAGTGTTTCGCACCAAACCCTCAAAGAGCGAATCCATTATTAGACATCGTTAACAATTAAACGTAACGTTATTCTCCATCAGCTCTCATTGTAAGTGAAAGTCGGCAGGTATTTTAATTCAGATTTTAACCTTTCTTTTTAGTCGGTTACTGATTTATCAGCTACTAGTTCATCAGTAATAAATCATAATTTGACTTTTAGAACTGAAGCATGTTTGTTTGTTTGTAAATATTTTCGTGATCAGGAAAAAGCCTCATAAAGTCTGAATTTTACAGTATTTAGATGTTTTTAGAGCCACTTCGGTGGATTTCTGTTCTGTGGAGCACAAAGCAAACAGTCTGGTTCATGTTCGACGTCGTTTCATCCAAAGAGAAACGGCGTTCGAGAAGATTCGGGTGAATGCGTCTCCGTGCGCGGATGTGTATTCTGAGGAAGAGAGCCTCCTTTCAAATCAGGCGCCGGATTAAAATAAACTTTGATGTCAGCTGAACGTCGGCCAAGATGGCCGAATATAAATCGGACCATAAATTCAGCCCAGTTATGAATCAGAACACGACGGTGATGATATCTGAACGACGGCAGCTTCATTTCTGATGTTTGCTGCGTAAATCAAAACGTTTGGATTTATGGAAGCTGCTTGGAGGAGACAGAACGACCTGACGAGAAGCTCCTGACAGCTCTGAAAGTTCTGACCCGACTGTGAAAACGTTCTGTTTGCAGCCTTCAGGCGAACCTGTAATCTGTGCTTTACTGCGACAGTCGGTCCGGTTTACAGAACAGCTGAGGCTTTTAAACTTTACGACAGTTTCAGTTTCTTCTGGATTTGCTGACTGACTTCATCTGGAGCTTTTCTGCTTCAAATTAATAAAACAAGTTAAAGACAACATAAATATTTGATAATTTACAGTTTTTTTTGTTGGTAAAAGTTAAAATAATGTCATAGAAGCTACAAAAATCCATGTTTTTGTGACTTTAAGTCTACTTTACTTTGGACAGTTTAGGGTTTAGTTGTTATTCTATAATTTAATATAATTTTAACATAAACGTCAAACTATTACGTAGTTAAAAAAAATTAATAAACCATAAATTATTGATCAGTTGTTGTAAATCTAATGCAGCATCCTCAGAGACAAAACAAGTTTTTTTATGGTAAAAAAATAAAGTTTTTTTTAAGGACGTTTTTAAAGTTTGTAGAGTCATAGTATTGTTTGTTTTATTTATTTATTAAAAACAAAGTGTATTCACATTTTCTACAAATGTAAAAAATTAAAACAAAACTCAAAACTATAAAATATTCTAAAACAAAAAAGCATAACATTTAAAATAATCTAAAATTTAAAATACAATAAATAAAATAATAAAAATAGAACAAGATTTAATCAATATTAAGAAACTTAAGACATATCAATACATTATAAAATAAGAATTGTTTTTTATAAATAATAGTTTTATAAATGGGCTAATTATTTAAAAATAAAAAAAAATAATCTTACTAATTCAATTAAAACAGAGTTTAAGTCCCAAATTGCCCAACAGGTAGAAGGAAAATGTTTAATATTTCTAATGAATAAGAAAGAAACATTAAATGTTTGTAACATCAGAACTAGAAGCTGCCGCCTGAGGAATTAATTTAACTGAAGAACAGATTATTAAAATATTTAATTATAAACAGGCAGAAGTCGGACGCCTCCATCGCCGTTCTCTTCATTTCTGTCTGAGTTATGAAAACATGGTGGAGGGGGGCTGCAGTGAGAGCAGGCGGTCATGAGAGGGCCGTATTACCTCAGATCAATAACGCGCCGAGGCAGGAAACCTTCGGCTGCTGTAGATGAGTTCAGCGAGTTTGTCTGTGTGTAGAAGCTGCCAGGAGAGGGAGGCAGCGTGGAGAGAAAATAACGGAGTCCTTCGAACAGACACCACCAGATGGAGGAAATTTGCACTTTGCTGCAGATTATTAATCCGCCTCCGTTTTAGATGTTGCTTTTCATGACAGGAGACTGAAAGAGCCGAATGATTTCAGACCAGGAGGTCTCTGACATCCTTCAGGCTCTTGCTCCCTTCTCAAACGCCTCTTCCTCTCGCTCCTCAGCTCAGAGACTCGACATGGGTCGAACACGCTGTACTTTTTCACGGGTTTGGGCCGGAGGAGGGTGTGAGGTGTGTGCCGCGTGTGGAGGGAACGGATCACCGTCACCACGGCGAGGAAAGATGGCAGCGTGCACGCATCACGGCTCTTTAATGACTGTTTACATAAGCAAATAAAAAACACGCATGATTTGGCACACACGTGTTCGGGGACATGCTCCGGGTCATGTGTGTGTCACGCCACGATGACAGCTGCAGCACTTCCTGCATCACTTGTTTACAGGAAGAATCAAACGCCCAGCAGTCCTCTGAGGGATGCATATTGCCCGCCATCTTTAATATCACCGTCTGTTCTCAGAGCTTGAGTTGAGGATGACTCTCAGCTACTCCTACACCAAACTGTAGCTCAATATCTGTCAAATTGACTGGTGGCCATCTTGAATGGATTTACCTCCAAAAGTCAGTCAGCTGCAGATGGAAAATTTCATTTAAATCTGCCCCGGGGTTCACAAGATATTTTGCTAACAGACAGACGAAAGGACACACAGGGTCTGGTCTGCCATGAGAACCGAAATGAAGACAACAGATTTAGTTGTGAGGTCAGTAAAAGACACCAGTTGCCAGTACGAAACCGCTCAGGTTCGATTTCTATTCCCCTCAGGATCGTTTAACAACAGGAGGCGGAGCTTATTGTGGAATTAAATCAACTTCAGGAGCAACACGGATTAAATCCAGGTGTCGGGTTGTAGATCATCTCAAACTGCAGACTGTAGAGATTCTGATGAGGTCTAGAGGATTTAAAGTCCAACGTATCCCTAGGACTCAATGTGCTGAGTCAGCAATCACACAATGCTGAGTCAGCATTTACACGATTGTTTTTCATGTTGGTAGTTTGTTCCGTGCGTTGTTTGGACTCAAACTACTTCCATTAACTGTCGTAAACGAGCTACTGTTCTGGCCCCTTTAGAGCCTTTTAGCATGTAGCTCCTGTTTTGCTACCTTTAGCTGATTTCTGCTACTTTCAACTAGTTTTAGTTCTTGTTCTACTACTTAGAGCTATTTTTTTGCTTATTTATTTTTTTTACCTACAGTTTTGCTACTTTTAGCTTTTAGCTATGGTTTGATATTTTTGGCTATTGACTAGAATTTTACAATTTGGCTACTTGTAACTTTTAGCTACACTTTGGCTAAATGTACTTTTTAATAACAGTTTTTAATCCTTTTATCTTTTAGCTATGGTTTAAAAGTTTAGTTACTTTTAGCTTTTAGGTGCAGTTTCACAAATTTTAGCTTTGAGCTTCTATTTAGCCAGTTTTACTTTATGGCATTTGTTTGACTACTTTTAGGCTAGGTTTTATGGCTTTTAGCTTTGAATTTTCGATTTGCTAATTTAAATTTTCAAGATTTTGATGCTTTTTTGTTTTTAGTCACCAATTTGCTCCTTTTATCTTTTAGCAACAGTTTTGATGCTTTTAGCTAATAGCTATAGCTCTCGTACAAGCATTTGGCAACACTTTTGCTAAGTTTAGCTTTTATCTATAGTTTTGCTAACCTTAGCTATAAGCTACAGTATTTCTAATTTTAGATTTTAGCTTTGCTTTGGTCACATTTAGCATTTAGCTACATTTTTCCTGTGTTTTGCTTTTATCTATAGTTTTGGTAATTTTACGTTTTAGCCAGTGTGTTGGTAGTTTTAGCATTTAGCTTCAGTTAGCAGCTTTCTGTTTTTAGCCCTGGTTTAGCTGATGTGGCTGTTAAATACTGTTTCTGTAGTTTTACTAATGCCTCTTTCAGCTTTAAAAACTGAGTTTTAGCTTCTTCATCAGCTGTCTTTGACATCGTTTAGCGCTCACGCTGCTTTCTTACAGTTTAAAAAAAAAAAAAGAAACTCAGACTCGTCAGATTGTAGTTTGTGGTTCTATGGTGAAACCGCAGCAGGAAATCTTTGTGTCGGCCGTTTGTTAAAAATTATGGAGGGTCTCCTTGAGCTGCCAGAGCTGCTCAGGCATGTGGATGTGTAGGTGAAGGACTTCGGCGGGCGTCCCGCGGTGTCCAATGTTTCTTCGGCTCCTTCGGCTGCAGGATGAGGCTTCACTCTGGCAGCTTTCACCCCATAAACTCTCAGGAACCTGCAGGAGCCTGACTGAAAATGATCACATCACCTTCTGTTAAACCGTTGGACAACATGTGTTTCAATTTTGTCTGAGTCGACATTTTAGCTGTTTTTGGACAAGAAATTCCACAGAAAACCCAAAGGAAGAAATTTAAATTTAAATGCTGTAAAGATTTTCTGGAAACTCCTAACCCCTGCTAACGTTTAACAGCTAAACTTCCCCACATGTACGATGTATTCCTGTGGGTTTTACGAAGCACGCTCGTAAAACTTGAAGGAATTTAAAGCAGACTTTGAAAAAGTGTGAAGACTTTAGAACAAACTAGTATATAGCTGATTTTAATTACAGGCCGTATTTGCTTTTTCTCAGAAAAGACAAACCTGACTTGATGTGATTTGGACATTTTATATTCTTCCTATTGTTTAAAATGTGTATTATTTTTTATTTTGCACACAGCAGCAGTATTAAGAATGGTTCTCTGGACTTGAGCTGTACTTTCATTATTATTTTATAAGTGCATATAAATTACAGAACATGCACAATAACTTGAACATTTCCATACTGGTAATAAATATTTGTATAAATCAGCCTTTAGACTAGGGGTGGGCAACATTTTTTTTCCAGAGCAACAAATCAAGTTATTAAGAGTAGTTGAAGAGAATCAGAATATTAAAGTTTCTATATGACCGATAATCTGGAAAATTATTTTCAGGCATTTTTTCTGGTTGTAGCGTAGTTATTAGCATGCTTGAAATAATAATAATAAAAAATGTCTACCCAATACTCTTTAGGACTTTTTCTGTAAACTGACTCCGCTCCGCTGAGGTGCAGCCGGCCGAGGCTGTTAGAAAATACGTCCCATCTTTACAACTGTTCCAGTAAACCTTATAAATGAATGAATATGCCTTTTATTGTCACTAAAAAAACATATACAATGAGATTAAAAGCAACTCCTCTCACCGTGCAAACAGTAAAAATAAATAAATAAAAGCGTGCTAAAAACAGTAGTAGTGGTATTTCACATGCTGCAGATATCGCTCATTTATGGCATTGTACAATATTGTCAATAAATTAAGTATTTAGATATTTAAACATATTTAACAATGCACAACAGGTGGGTAAAAGGAAGTCCAGGGGTATGGAAGGTTAGGCTGTGCAGTCATTGTACACGTGAGTTCAAAATGGTTATGGCTTTTGGAGGAAAAAAAAAACACTTCTTGAATCTGTTCATTTTGTTCTGCTGCACCTGAGAACAGCAGTTCAAACGGTTCGAAACCAGAGTGAGAGCTGTCCTTGATCATATGTTTTGCTCTGCTGAGACATTGGGAGATGTAAATATCCACCAGGAAGGGGAGAGGGCATCCAATGACCTTCTGCACTACCTTTACTACTCTGGAGCCTCTCCCTGTCTGTCACGGTGCAGCTGCCGTACCATACTGTGATTCAGTCCATCAGCAGGTTCTCAGTGGACGAGCGGTAGAAGGTCAGCAGCAGGTTGGAATCCAGGTTGTTCTTCCTGAGAAGGCTCAGGAAGTGAAGCTGCTGCTGAGCCTTCTTGATGACCGCTGTGATGCTGAGAGGTCAACGGAGATAAGAATGCCAAGAAACCGGAAGGGAAGGTGTGGACCTTCTCCACACATTCACTCTGTGTATGTAGAGGGGCGCTGGGTCAGTGCACTTCCTGAAGTCGATGATGACCTCCTTGATTTTCTTGGAGTTCAGAGCCAGGTTGTTCTCTGAACACCAAGTTGCCATCTTCAGGACCTACTTCCCGTAAGCTGTCTCATCTCCCTTAGGATGAGTCCGACCACTGTGGTGTGGGTGTAGAGACAATACTGGAGGGGGCTCAGCACACAGCCCTGTGGTGAGCCGGTGCTCAGCATGTGAGTGGAGGAGTGATGGGGGTCAATCTCATAGTCTGGAGCCGGTTGTTGAGAAAGTCCCTTACCCAGGCACATGTGAGAGGGGGAAGCAGTGAATGTCTAGTTTGGTGATGAGAGTGTCTGGGAAGATCTGGACGTAGCTCTGCTGCTGATCCAGATGAATTCCTCTGTGGACCTGTTCGCATGACATGTGAACTGATATGGGTCAAAGCCTGGAGGGAGATGGCTCTTGATGGCTGAAGAACCAATCTTTCAAAGCATTTTATGATCACCAGACTGAGGACCGCAGGACAATAATCATTCAGGCTGGCAATGGAGGACTTCTTTGGAACTGGAATGATTGTAGTTGATTTTAGGCCGGATAGGGTGACTGTCTGGGCCAGGGAGAGGTTGAAGATTCTGGTAACGATGACTGCAAGCTGGTGGGCACCAAGATAGTCAAAGACCTCATGGAAGGATTCAACATGGAGTCACAGGCGTCTGTCTGTGGCTATGCTGTCCTTGTACGCCTTGGCCGTATATCATAGGGACGACATCTATGCTCATAAAAAATGAGCATAGATGGATGGATAATACAAGGATCCATGACCATTAATGTTCTTTTTGATCTTCTGACCTTTCAGGAGTTTGCCGTTCTGACCAAAGAGCTGAACCTGTGCCGGGAACAGCTGCTGGAGAGGGAGGAGGAGATCGCAGAGCTGAAGGCAGAGAGGAACAACACACGGGTCGGTATCTGCCGGGTCTCTGCTCTGTTCTCGTTATCCAATCTTCACCTCCTGAGATCCTTCATCGTGTTCTTCTTCTAGCTGCTGCTAGAACATTTGGAGTGCCTGGTGTCCCGCCACGAGCGCAGCCTGAGGATGACTGTGGTGAAGAGGCAGGCCCAGTCTCCGGCCGGGGTCTCCAGTGAGGTGGAGGTCCTGAAAGCCCTCAAGTCCCTGTTTGAGCACCACAAAGCTTTGGATGAGAAGGTCCGGGAAAGGCTCCGGGTGGCTCTGGAGCGCGTGGCGGCCCTGGAGGAAGAGCTTCAGACTTCCTCCCAGGAGGTGAGTGTCCTGCTTTTTGTTTGGTTCCAAATTAAAACAGAAGAAGCAGAGCTGGAGTTGTTTTACTGATTAACTCAATAGTTTTAAATACATTTTTTTAAATATAATTTTAATTTGGTTTTTACTGTTGATCTTAACTTGTCAATTAACCAACTGTTAAAGGTCCATCTAGGGACGGGTGTTGCGAATTAACTTTGACTATCTACTCTGTGATGCAGACATTAGATTGTTTTGATTTATGTTTCTTGTATCTGTCCCTACCAAATAAAAAATAAATAAATAAAATGTTTTCTCGTGTTTCAGGTTGTTTCTCTAAAGGAACAAGTCAAACGACGACAGCAAGGACTCGACAACGGCAAGGAGGTAAAATATGTTTGGCTGTTGTTCACGAGCATAATCTGCAAATAATCTGAACTCAGAGTTTAAGTGAGTTGATCCAAACTTCTTCATGAAATGAATACTTTCGTCCAGCGGCTTCCTAACGGGCCGTCCTCCATTTTGGACGACGGAGAGGTGGACCGTCAGAGAGAGGGCGAGATCGAGCGTCAGCGGTCGGAGCTGGGGCAGCTGAAGGAGCGGCTAGCCCTCATGTGCAGACAGGTGCTTCATTCAAAGATGCTTCCATTCCTTTAAACGTGACCCAGAAAGAACACTGCTTCACCGTGACCTTTTGACCTCTCACTTCCTGTCAGGTGGGTGAGATCGAGGAGCAGCTCACGTCTGCCAGGAGGGAGCTGGCCCGATCGGAGGAGGCCAACCAGAAGCTGCAGAGGGACCTGAAGGAGGTGAGAGCAGCCGACAGACGTCCAACCGTCACAGAGTGTGTGTCTGTTTGCAACACACACACACACACACACACACACAGGAAGCAGTTTGCTATGGTAACAAAGTGTTGGAGTGTTTGCCTGCTTGGCATCAGCGGCTGCTACTGTACGCCAAAGAGCCTCTACCCTGTCGCCATGGCGACAGTCATCAGTAGCGCTGCAGGCGTTTCTCACATGGACGGGGCCCGTTAATCAGTCAGTACGCTGGCAGCCAGTTAAAAGGTGTGCGGCGCGTTTTGGGACGAGATGCAGTCGAGCCAGTTTAACACACGCGCGTGCACACACACACACACACACACACACATCAGTTACATAAAACACGGGAAATCTGTCAGCAGCAACTATTAGGCATCAATTTTCATTATTCAGTTATGAACAGTTGACATCTCTCCTTCTCTTCTCTGCCTCTTGAACTTTGTACTTTTGTGTAATTTTCCCAGGCGCTCTGTCAAAGAGAAGACATGGAGGAGAGGATCACCACATTAGAGCGCAGGTTTGTGCTTTGTACATTATAACCCGCTGAGTCAATATCCTTTTATTTAATGAACATTATTAGTAATATTTGCTTTACTTTTCTTTTTCAATCACTCTTGGAAAAGCCCTCTCTGACTTGTACGTCTGATGTTTTGCTGCGGTTTGCAGGTACCTGAGCGCCCAGAGGGAGGCGACGTCTCTCCACGACATCAAAGACAAACTGGAGAACGAGTTGGCCAGCAAGGAGTCCCTCCATAGACAGGTGTGGACGTCTCTTCATCTCTTCGTGTGTCCGTGTCTCTGCTGCTGATTGGCAGCTCGGCTCGGGTTCACGCCGGCACACGGCGCGGCGTAAACGTCTTTGGCTTTGATCACGTCTGCTGCCCTGGGCCGTCTTCGCTCAGAACGTTTTCAGTCCTTCTCTCTGTCACTTGATTTTCCTGCAGAGCGAGGAGAAGAACCGGCAGCTTCAGGAGCGTCTGGACGATGCCAAACAGAAGCTGCAGCAAACCCTGCAGAGGGCCGAGACGCTGCCTGAGATCGAAGCGCAGCTGGCGCAGAGGGTGGCGGCGCTCAACAAGGTACCCCCACCCTCAACAAAACCCACTGCTGGTGCATCTTTGAGGCAGAGAAGTGACTGTAAAACACCACAGTTAACTCACTGTAAAAAACACAAAAAAATGACTACGTCTTTTCCGCCGTACACGTCGCACCGCCCTATAAGTCGCATCAGTCCAAATATGTCTAGTAAAGTGGAAAAATCCATAAATACATTGCTTCGCCATATACGTTGCATCCATTATGCGTCACCGCTGACAACCCAGAAATGTGAGCCAGTGCCAAAAATCGATTGGTTTCCAAAAGGCGGGAGCGTGCACGGAAGGATTTTAACAAGAATTTAACAAGAATACTTAAAAACAATTGTTTGCTTGCTCAGAATTATAGTAAAGGTGTGTCTCCGTCTAACTTTTGTTTAATAAATGCACTTAGATGGTCAAATCAGCTGCATTTCTAAAGCCGATATGCGGAAGCGGCATGCGCAGAGGGACGAGTCATTGTGCATTTCTTCAAAATTTAACACGCTAACCACCTAAAAACATTTATTTGTTTGCTCAAAATTATAGCAAAGGTGTGTCTCAGTTGAACTTTTACTTAATAAATGCACTTTAATGGTCAAATCAGCTGCATTTCTCCAGGGAAGTGCAGCGAAATGAAGCTGATTTGACGGTTGCTCCAAGCTAGCAGAATGAAGCTGGCAGGCTATGGCAAGCCGATTGTGTCATTAATAGCCACTTTTACCTATTACATGACACAACGGCATGCCATACTCCTCGAGTGCCATCTAGCGGCTGAAAATGGTAATGTTCAATATTTTCAGTCAGAATGAATGAAAACATCATATCTCAGCCAAAAATTGGTTTATAAATATGGGAAAAACATAAATACATCGCTTCAACGTATAAGTCGCAGGGCATGCAAATTATGCAAAAAATGCGACTTATACAGCAAAAAATATGGTAAATCTCAGTCATGTTTACAGGTAGATATGCATTCCTTCAAGGAATGTTAGTCCTGTTAATTTATCTTTTAAACCAACACACACACAAAACATAAGAATGCATGCAGAGTGAACAGACCCCAGTGCAGAGATGTATTTGCATAAACATGTATGGGTCAGCTTGTAGGCAGGAGCAAGCGTGTGCACACTGTACACATTCACATTGCATGCATGAGTGACAGAAACACACAAGATGTCAAATGACAGATGAACACTAAATATTTTTATCAAGATGAAGCCAATAATTTCAACCATCTTGGCTCAGGGTGCCAGAATCAGCCCAACTATTTGATCCTTGGGCGCTGAACACGTTGGGAACTGCACGCCACAAATTCCTCCTTTAATCGTTAATTATTCCTGTAAACACCATTTTCACTCATGCCAAATAAAAGTGCATTGCACTCACATCTCCTCCCCATCACTGAAACCTCAGAAATGGCCGAAGTTTCATTTTACGTGTTTGGGCAGGGTGGCTTTTGTGGCAGGATCACGATAATGCTGTGTAAGAAACAAGCTAACAACATGTGTACAGGCATGTAACCAATAATAGACTCTGTCAACAAGATTTCTCCTTTTGTGCTAATTTGTATAAGCGTTGCAACATGGCTGTCGCTCTCAACCTGCTTCCTCTCCGATCGTTCAGGCAGAGGAGCGTCACGGCAACTTTGAGGAGCGGCTGCGACAGATGGAGGCACAACTGGAGGAGAAGAACCAGGAGCTACAGAGAGTGAGTCATGCTCTGTTCTCATCCTCCCCCTCGTTCCTTTTTTGTCGAGCTTTACGTGACACAAAGGCGCGCAAATTTTCTAAAGCGCTCTATTTGACCGTGCACGTTCAGATAAAAGAACTCTCGGGTTTTGTGGTATTAGCTCCCCTCTCACCCACCTTTCTCTCCCTCCCCATCGATGACGTTTTTTAATCTTTCTTTCTAAATCATCTTCCTGTGTCCTTTCAGGCGAGGCAGAGGGAAAGGATGAACGATGAGCACAACAAGCGCCTCTCCGACACCGTGGACAAGCTGCTGTCCGAGTCCAACGAGAGGCTGCAGCTCCACCTGAAGGAGAGGATGGCCGCCCTGGAGGAAAAGGTGACCCGCTCAGTCCAAGAAAGATGTCCCAAACTGTTTCTGTCTCTAATCTGAACTCCAAAACTCCAGTAAATATGGCTAAATAAACTGGTTTGTTCACTTACTTCTCCCCATGTGACCAGAACTAGAGTAACTTCTCAAACTTTTCCTACTAAATCAGACATTTACTGCACAGTCAGCTGCACAAAACATCCAATCATCCATCCATTTACTTTACTATTTTTTCTGTGTAGGCGTGCAGGGAAGCTGGTGCCTTTTTAAATATAAAATGTTTGGTCTGATTTTAAAACTTAGAAAAGAAACAATAACTTGTGGTTTTGCATTATAGTGTTGGACTGTTTGGCAGCATCAGTATGAATGAAGGCTCAGTAATTCACAATAAATGTAACCTTAATAGTACAGTTTCTGTTTTTAAACAATGTTAATATATTTTTTTTACTGCATGTAGCAAGTGCAACAATAAAGGTGCATTATGCTAAATTTATTGCATGCACGGTTTGCCAGTTTCTCTTTAGTATTTGGGTTGTTCTTTCTCCCCAGAATGCTCTATCTGAGGAACTGTCAAACATGAAGAAACTCCAGGATGATCTGTTGGCGAACAAGGTAATGAACATCATCGCTAGCTAAGGTCAGAGGACTTTTCTACTACGTCCAGCTGACCCCCGTTTCTTTCCCACCTGCAGGACCAGCTGATAGCAGAGCTGGAGCGTCTTCAGCTTGAGGTGGACCAGCTGAGAGCTCGGCCTGGGGGCTCTTACTCCAGGTTGGTGCCACAGAAAGCCACCAGTTCTGGTTTTTACTCTGAGAATCTTGTATCGTCTTGCCTGTTAAAAGATGCAAATGTTTTGCATCTGCTCTTGGCACTAAATCACTCCACGCTTTGAGCGCTCACATTACCTGTGTTGATAGGTGCTGTGCACGCTCGCTGCACAAACACTCAAATTATCTGACATTAACTGTCGCTTTTTCTCTGTCTGTCATGGCTTTTGTAGGTCTGCTGACAGAAATATAACGTAATGTTCCCCGCGCGTCTTTTAACTCTTTTTAGAGTTTTTCTGTTTGTTTATCTGAATGTGCTGTTTTATCTTCTCCTTCCTTGTTCCATAAATCTGCTTGAACTCAGCATTCCTCAGCTTGTTTGCTTCTTGATTGTTTTGGATTTATCCTCTTACTGAAGTCTCCAACAACAGCCTTATTCACTGCAGGGATAAGAGCTGAATTATCTGAAACTGTTTTTACTTTTTATCTCTGCAGTCGCTCTCTGCCAGGTAGTGCCCTGGAGCTGAGGTATTCCCACGGAGGCGGGTCCCTCCCTACAGGCTCCACTGCTCACCTGGATCCCTTTAATACCTCGGCCGGGAGCGTGGTCAGGCGAAGCCACCGGGCCCGCTGGAGCACCGCCCATGAAGACGCGAGCAAGGTAAACCTCATGAAGACGTAGATCTGAAACAGTTTGTGACATTTTTTTTTTTTTAATGACGATCTGGGAGCGTTGATTTGACAGTGCAGATGTTTGTTGTCATGCTTGGTGCATTTTCTCTATTTGCTTTATTAAGCTTGTCTCCGATGGAAGTTCAGGCAACAAAGTAAACAATAGAGTAAGAGTAGAGTATAGTAGAGTATTTAAAAGTAAAGCAGAGTGGAGTGGAGGCAAGCAAAAGAGTAGACAGGTGTAACATAGAGTAGATTAGAGTGATGTGCAATAGAATTAAGTAGAATAAATAATAAATAATGGAGTCTGAGGGTCCTACCCCAGCGAATTTTGGATAGAGTAGATGCCATTTTCTGCATTCTGGTGTATTTTACAAAGGTTTATTACAGTAGATTAACATGAAACTAAAGATGTAAACTCATTATTGAAATGACTGCAAAGCGTTTGTAATGTAAAACCGCTGCAGCTCTGCAGTAAGGGGCGTTCACTTCAGGCCAAATTCAAGTTGCTGATTTGTCAGTTATAAACATCAACATTAAAATAAACAAACATTTGAAATATATCAGTCTGTGTGTAACAAATGAATATACAAGTTTCACGTTTTGAATGGAATTACTGAAATAAATCAACTTTTTCCACAATATTCTAATTTTATGACCAGCACATGTATTTCAAATGTACTTTTAATCACTTTATGTGTGATTTATAAGTGCAGGATCATTTCTCATTTAATTAGTAGATCCCACACCGGGGTCAGCTGAGCCTCGTCATCCTCCTCCCTGCTCCGCAGTGATTCACACATCTGATTGTTCACAAAAGTGCAGGAACTTATGCATAGTGCAAAACTTTAATTATATTTGTGTTTTTTTAATAAAATTGCCCATGACTTTGAACTTTTAGGGGCGGAGATTTTTTTTTTTTAAAGAGCAGGAGCAGAAATGCGAAGGACCAGCTCTGATGTGAATTCAAAAATGTTCCAGACAAAACCAGCTCTGATGTGATATTAGGAAGCTTTGTTTAAAATTATAGTTTTATTTAGTTAATAGTTTTACAGTCACTCTTTGTCAGGCGGGCTGAAAAATACGCAGTGTGATCCTTCAAATGCGCAGACACGGCCGTGCACCTCCTCCTATCCTGTCTGCTCCAGAACACGCAGCTAACTCCACCCGAACGGGCAATGAAGAACCAATCTGCGCATGCGTCTAACAGAAACTGAGACTTACCACTTGTGTATGTCGACCTGCGTCAAGAGTGAGTCATTGACAGAAGTGGTGGAGAGAATCCGGTGATTCTTAAAAATAAAAGTTTTTTTTGTTTGTTTTTTCTGTGCGGCCCGGTATAGATTGACCCACGGCCCGGTACCGGTCCCGGACCGGCCCGGTGGTTGGGGACCACTGCAGTAGAGTACAGTAGAACAGAGTAGAGTAGAATTGAGTGAAGTACAGCAGAGTAGAGTAAAATAGAGTA